GAAGCTTGGAAACAATACCAGTGAATAATGAGGACGCTCACTTGTATATACAAAACCTGGGGGGGGGGAAATTGGTCATATTCGAGGCCCTATTTAAAAGCGAGAATTTTACGGCAGAGCCTCTCTGTTCGTTACACCGTACTGACGAGCCCCCAAAAAAGACGAAACAGCTGTCTACGGCTACGATCCCGCTCTGTTTTTGGTTCTTTCGTTGTCGTGTTGATGTCTTGTAAAGTTAATTTTCACGTAGTACGATCAGCTTTGCAAAATTCAGTGTGTCCCTTGACTGTAAGTTCACACTATACAGGATAGGTCTTTGTGATTCCACGAAAACCTATTTGTTGTAGTGTGAACAGCAACGGCCCAGGCCAGCACAAGTCCTTTACACAGTGCAACATCGTGCCTGCTTGGTTGAACGACAGGGTTTGGTGCACTAAATTCCTTTTTCTTACTCCTGAAAATTTACTTCCGTCTCAGTGGGTTCCATTACTCGCTCATACTTATTATTTCCGCGGTGGTCCGAATAGGCGTTTACATTGCACCAAAGTATGACAATGTCTAGTAGCGTTTCCTATTAAATTGATGAGGGAATCGAAGAACTTAATATTGAAGTTAAGTTCTTGATGTTGTAAGTGGTTTAAACCAACAAATCCTGTCATTATTTGGCCGGGAGAGTGTAGCCCTGAGAAGAGCTGTTGATCACACTGACGTTTACAAAACCCGTGCTGAAGTCATCATCAGGGTCAGGAAAAACCTGATGATGACTCTCGCGCAGGAAGGTGACTCTGATGATCACAAGGATCTTTTTTCCCATTACAATCTTATTCTAACAAAACTTTAAGACAAAATGTCCCGAAAACCGCTCGAAAGTACAAACGAAATGTGCTCATGCCCCCTGGGCATCCTATAATACTCCTTAAATCGAATTAATTCAATATGGCCGCCGTATCGGTAAAAAGCTTGGCGTGACAGGTTCACGTGACCTGTTTCGAAAATACTAATGCTGACTCCGTCGTCAGGGTCGTAAGTACTCTACACAGTCAGCAATTACTTTTCTTACTGACTCCATTAGAAGAGACATGGATGTTAGGGTGCGTTTTTTCGGGAAAATCCAAATACGGATTTCCGAATCCAAAAACGGATTTTGAGTGTTTTTGGGCATATCTAAAAACGGATCATGAATTCATAATATCCATACTCAGAGTGGATTCTTCGGATCAAATCCAAATCCGGATTTTTGAGATTCACAATCTGAGCGTCTTTTTTGGGAAAGGATTTGAAAAGTATTTTTGACAAGCGGTTTTTCGCAAAAAAAAAAATGGTCTGAACCTATGTTGGTGGCGTCTTATTAAGTTTGAGCCATATCATTCCATGTTTGTCATCTATTCAAATTATTGGTAGACTGTTTTTAAACCCTTACTTGTCATGTTTTTGTACGTATGTAGGGTCTGCTTACGCCGGTTTATTTTCCAAGTTAAAAAAAAAAAAACAATTCATCGGCTTCAATTTTAAATTCTAACAATTTTATCAACCTAAGGGGTGTATTCTATTCGAGAAACGCTTGTGTTTCAAACCGAAATACTATACATTTCGTATATTCATTCCTAGCTAATGTTGCTTTTTCTTCTTGTCTTCGCCGTGAGGATCAGTTTGTTGTTGCTATTTTTTTTTTCTCTCGAGGAGCACGAGGACATGTTGTTGACATAGTAAATGATCCTTTTTCGGATCCTCTGTTTTTTTGGTTGTGACGAATCCGTATGATCTGAGATCATAAATCCGTTTTTGGATTTTCCCAAAAAATTCCACCCTTAGACTCCTAACAGGTGGACTTTCGTCGTGAGGCACCCAATTTTGTTTCCGCGAGAGGTGTTCTGTCCCAGTCCTCTCTGCTGCCGCCGCCATATTGGAAAGCGAGAAGATCCTGCCGACAAGGTTGGACATTTTATGTGGACATACATAGAAACATTGCGCTGGTGTCGGTCTGATTTCGATTTTAAGTTAGTATCATCCAAAATCTCCTTTCTCCTAGCCCGTTAGGAAGGCCTGATACTCAGGCTACAGTCTGATTTGAGCGGTGTTGATTTTAGGAGTCAGATTAGAGGAGATATTACTGGAAGAACATCAAAAGTTAGAAATAACACCTGAACGTCGAGCTGTTTAGCTACAGCAGGGTAAGGATACTTGTCTTTGTCTGTTTTTGTTCCTTTAAGTCTCCTCTTTAACTAAAAACTATACAGCAATATTGAATTTAATGAGCAATGTTCGCAAGTTTAGTTGAGCTTAAAGTGCAGCTTGAACTTATAAAGAAGTTCAAGAAAAATGATTTCCACCTAAATTATTAATGAACTTCTCTTTATTGGGGAGCATCCCACGTATGGTGCTTAGTGCGCTTTTGGATGCTTCCTTCTCCTCCTATTCTAATTTTTTCAGTGCATATGCTTACACTTTTACTTACTGTATTGGAGAAAACCGTAATAAAAAAAAATCGAAACTGTAACGTTAACCAGCTTAACTAAGATGAAAAGCGTTGATGTTTTTGACGAGAAACTCATACGATCAATCCACTTCCGGCTTTGAACACTCATTGAACTGGCATCAAGTCTTACACAGTAAGCTTATGTATTTTAAAATAATAAACGAACTTTTTGATTCTTCAGTGGTAATTAATGCCTGCCAAGGCATTTCGATGAAATTGTAAGTAGAAATAATGCAACATTACACACAGATTCTTTACCAACTAACTCAATTCCCGGCCGCATCCCCAGCAACCCCTCCCCCTCCCCCTTCCCGCTCCCCCTGCATTGAAATGATTCACCCACTACATTTGATGGCTCAGTAAAATACTATAGGACTTCTGTGAGTTTCAAAATATAAATTATTGCTTTCAAAACGAGGCTAAGTGAAAAAAGTGTTAGTAAATACCAAACAAAAAATTTATATCAATGGCTTTGCACTTAGCCTGGCTGTAAAACAGAGACTAATGGAGCAACTTTGAAATTATTTATCTCATGTTTGCCCATTTTTTTGCAAGTTTCACAAAAATCTCAGGTTTTGTCAAGGCCTTCTCAACCTCCTCTTTCACTGCTTTACACTCTTCGGCAAATTTCTGAATTTTGCTGAAATTTTCCAATTTTTTTCTTATTTGCAGTTTTCACAAAAATCACAGATTTAGTTGAGGTCTTCCTTACCTCCCCGTTTACTGCTTTTCACTAATGCAGTGAATTTTCAAATTTTTTTCTAATTTTTGCAGCTGCATGCAAACCTGGACATATCTCTGTAACTGTGCACGTGAGTTCAGCAGGACCCAGGTTTTGTTTAAAAGGTGGATACGTAACCACTATTCCCTGGATTAACTACAGCACTGACAGCTGAGAGTCACATTATTATTATCTGACAAGAGGGCAGTATGATTAATATGTTACTATAGCAAGGACTTATATTCCCCTTCTCTTCATCAGTCATGGCTGCTTCATCTGATTAGCCTGAGGTCATGAAAGCAACAAGGAGTCTGGACAATTCACAGGTTCATTCTTTTTTTTATTTCTTGTTACTAAAAGTTATACTTTATCCATGAATGTTATACTATGCTGTTGACATGTCAGCTGGCATTTGTTGACTGACATGGTTGTCATGTTGACTAATATTAACCATTATTTCGAATGAGGCTTGGTCAACATGTTGACTTGACAGTCATTGGCCAATATGTTGACATATATATATATATAAGGGTGCTTTTAGTTCACAAGATCCAAGAAATTTATGGTTATGTCTTGTTTGTTTGGTGAATAACTTTTATTTACCTCTATGATCATGTATGTATACACCTTATTAAAGTTTGCGTCATTGTATTAAAAAAAAAACGAAAGTGACAAATATATGCCAAAATATATCCAGTTCATAACTTATTTCATGCCTGATAGACCTTTAGATTATGAAGGAACTTCATTTTTTCATTTTGAAACTCTAAAACAAAACTCTTCCTCTAAAGTATACTGATTGTAAGCTGTTAAGCTATTTATCAAAGCGCATGTCACTGTTTTAAGAATAATACTGAAATCTGAAAGAAATAACATTGATATGCCTAATTTATTCCTATTTAAACGAAAGTTTCTAGAAACTGTTTGGGGGTCTTTGGGTGGGAAAGTGAGAAAAAAATTGGCTATTCTACCCCTACATGTACATTGTATCAACTTACATATGGTCGATGAAACAAATTTTTTTTATAAATAATTGCTATTACTTTGGTTTCTTTCATTTTTTATTAGTTTTAATTCACAAAGGATCAATGTGAAGAATTTGATTAAACAATTATCCCCAGGGGGGGTACTCCGGATTTCAAGTGACGGGGATGATCAAAGGATTTTTTTGGGTTTGAAATTTTCGATTCCAGGATTTTTTGGGTACGAAAATTTGGCAAGTATTTTTTTGGATAGCTTGATTTGAGTAGGGATTTTTAGGGGGTATTAAAAAGAATCAGTAGTGCCCTGGCTGCATACTGTAGTTCTGCGAATACAGTACAAACAAATGTGTTTTGCTGTTGTTTAATAGTCAACTATGGTGTCGCTTTACATCGCACGTGTTAGGCATGGGATTTTTGGGGGGTTAATTTTTGGTCCAGAGATTTTTTGGGGGTTTTGCTGGAAGCCCTATGGATTTTTTTGGGTCTTGACTTTTTGTTCCATTCGATCATCCCCGTCACTTGAAATCCCGAGTACCCCCCCTGGGCAATTATCATAATTTTTTTTTGTAAACACTGAAGCAAATTGAGTAGCGATTTTTTGGAGGTTTTGCTGGAAGCCCTATGGATTTTTCTGGGTCTTGACTTTTTGTTCGATTCGGTGATCCCCGTCACTTGAAATCCCGAGTACCCCCCCCGGGCAAAAACCATAATTTTTTTTTTTAAAGACAGAAGCAACGTGAGTGGTCGTAGATCTTGAACAGAATTACCAACATTTACAACATGTTCTTACTGATTTTAATTAAAGTCATTCTTATTGTAGGCTTGCTATGGTGACACCAGTGTTCCAGTGTTACATGTTACTCTTCTTGGTGGTGAGTGGGGTTCATCTGCTGGTGGGTTGTCAACCATAAACAGAGAGCTTGCTATTCACCTTTCAAATCATTCAGCGGTGAAGATTTCTTTACTAGTCCCAGAGGGAGCTTGCAACACTGAAGAGACAAAAGAAGCAGATGGCTATGGAATCACTATTGTTGAGGCGAAAGAACGTGCAGCATATGATCGCCTTGATTGGTTGAGCATCCCACCCCAGGACCACTTCATGGACATCGTTGTTGGCCATGGTGTTAAACTTGGTCGGCAAGTGCAATTCATTAGAAACTCTGCTCAATTTCCAAATTGTAAGTGGGTACAAGTGGTTCATACTGCTCCAGAGGACCTGAGCAGTTTCAAATCCTACAGTGACCCCATTTCAAAAGGTGAAACAAAACATGAATCAGAAGTTGGGCTTTGCAAACTTGCCGATCTTATTGTGCCTGTTGGACCCAGACTAAAAGAAGCATACTCTTCATATTTACAGAGATGTAAGACAGATCAAGAAGTTTTGTCCATTACTCCAGGCCTTTTTCAAAGGGAATTTGGGGATTTAGTGGCAAAACAAAACCCTAATGAAGATGGTGAATTTAAAGTGTTGTTATTTGGTCGGGGGGATGATGAGGACTTTGAACTCAAAGGATACAAAATTGCTGCTCAAGCATTTACTGATCAACGGTTGAAAAACAAACCATATCGTCTAATCTTTGTTGGAGCACCTGAAGGAAAGCAAGAAGAAGTTAGAAAAAAACTTCTTCAGAGTGATATTCTGGAAGCGCAGTTGACTGTTAGAAAATTTATACAAAGTAGAGAGAGGCTGAAAGATTTGCTGTGCGAAGCTGACCTTGCCATAATGCCGTCAAAATCAGAGGGATTTGGTCTTGTTGCACTTGAGGCCTTGTCTGCAGGACTACCCATTCTTGTAGGCAGTAGGTCAGGATTTGCCAAAGCATTAGAGAGTGTTCCTCATGGTCATCCATGCATAATGAATTCAGATGATCCTGCAGAATGGGCAAAAGCAATAGAAGCTATTCGTATCAGGCATGGAATGAGGCTTCAAGAGATAAAATTACTGAGAGTATCTTATGGGGAGAAGTACAGTTGGAAGAAGCAATGTGATGCCCTTGTGAACAGAATGCAGAGAATGGGTTATGGTAAGAGTTATTTTTGTTGAGTGCTGATGAACTTAATTACACTGTATTCATGTTGTACCAGACATTACACTAATATAGTTTTTTGGCACAATATATGCAAAATGTAAGAGTGCAGTGCACTCACAAGCACTGAATGCATTTTGTTCTTTGACCAAATTGTCGAGTGTACATGCAGGTTCTATCAGTTTTCTTTGCAAATTTAGTACATCTGTACTTGTACGTATTGTCCCAGAATATTTTACCGTTTTATTGATAGCTAGATAATATACGGCCAAGACATACACTGTATAAAAAAATGTACTTCTTTACAATCCTTACCTAGTAGGTAGATTCAGTTATTTTCCTAAGAAATCATGCACCGTCAATTCTTTTATGGTGAGGCAGGGAGGGGGGCATGTAGCCATACTTGAACTCCAGTTTTGTTATTTTTAAACTTCCACTGACAGAAAACATACAAAAACAGTCAGTTTTGCGTTGGGAGGTGACAAACCTGCAAATTAAATTGGCTACTTGAATTTTGAGATGCCTCCTTTCCTTATTAATAATGCAGCTCAAAGCTTGATAAAGCTGACTGTATAAACGTGTAGGATTACCGTTTTGAAATGTAATCTTAAAATGGATCTATAGTACTTTAAAAAGTTATGATGTTTTTACCATCAAATTTATTCTGAATTCCTATTGCTTCTCGAGCTTAAATGTTTTGTGCACACCTTTTAAAGTTGTGTTGGAAGTTGTAAATGCATAAAAAGATCTGTGAATTATTGTGTAGAATAAGGGTCTCCACCACTTTAAGGGTCACAGTTGTCTGTGACGCTTAAAATTATTTTTTTAGTGTTACATAGGGCGTGGTTCCACATGACACGTGACGAGTTTCTGGTTATTAGGGAAGGGTAGCGTCATTCTTTTAATACTAATAGACGCCTTGGTTATGGGTGGTGGAGATGTGAATGGGTTACAAAACTTACAGTTGTATATACATATATTTTGGAAGAAGCGTATAATAAAGGCTTGTTCTCTCACCAGACGCTTCTGATATACCAAAGGATGTTTCTGTCGATGAAAGGCAGCCTGTTGGAAAAACACATGCTTCAGCTTCTGGATTCTCAGGAGAGAAATGTCCAGTTGATGAACAGCCTAAAACTGAGGATGCAGCCAGATTAAGTGAAGAGTCTCCCTTAATTTGCCATACTCCTTGCATTTCAGAGCACACTTCTGACCAAGGTATAGAATTACATTGACAAGGTGCCAAACTTTTTTACACGTATTTTAAATAAACTCTTGAAAATTTTTGGCCCTCTTAAAAAGGAACTGTTTTTGTTTTTTTGTTTTTTTCTATTTTTGTCTTTCTGCTATTCACCATTTTCAGATACACCACGCACCTTGTTAACTTCCCAAAATTTTGCGTAACCATTGTCTTCGATTTCTCTTGGGACGAGTGTAATACACAGGAGAAATTGGGGGGTAAACAAGATGCGTGCAATTATGTGTAAATGGTGAATAGCTTAAGAATGCTCTGTTTGTGTTAAAGATTTTTCAAACAAAGACCTGAGGAGCCTCACTGAGTTTCCTTATACATTAGTAAATAGTTTTTTTTTTCCTTCAACTGTAATAAGAAGCAGTAATTAACTTGTAGTTAATAATTATGCTTTTAATCAATAATTTTCAGAAACAGCAAACACTGTTAAGATGTCAATCACCACGCGTGATTTAAGTAGTGAACTGGAGGATGTTGTGGACGGAATGTTAAGACAACAACTTGGAGTGTACTTGAAATACAATAAAACAAACAAGCTTTCTACAGCCAGTGGACTGAGTGACTTCATTAAACATTTAGAAAATACTTACAACTTTATTTATACATCTGTGGGTGAGGGATCTTTGGTAATAAAAGGTCAGTGTCCTGACCTGCAAAGTCTGGAAAGTCTGTGGAATGATTATTGTTCTGGTGTCCTGAATGAAGCTGCAGAGAGGTTTTTGGTAACTGATGATATGAAGAAACAAATCAACTTGGTGACACTCAGATTAAAGACTATTATTGATGAAGAAAGCTATTTGACTTGCAAGAAAGCTCTTATGGAAAAGTTAGGTGAGTTGGTGTAGCACAATTTCATGGGCAATTATCTTTAGAGGTCTTAAGACAAGAAATTGATGTAATTCTCTGCTAGTGCTTTACAGCGATGTACGCTTAGCTATAAATGAAAATGTATTAATGAAGCGGTCTTCTTAGAGACTTCAATCGAGATAATGGAACAATAGACCTTTTTACCGATACGACGGTCATATTGAATTAATTCGATTTAAGGAGTATTATGGGATGCCCAGGGGGCATTTGCACAATCCGTTGTAATCGCTAGGTATTAGAAATATGGTCTTTCGACACTAACGGCAGTACAAAAATTGAATTTTTAATATTTCAAAATAACCGTGTATTCTTTGCCTCTGCTTTTTTGTCAGTTCAGTTCAAACCAATACAGAGTGTGCTGTGTTCTGTTTCGTGTTTTAGAGTATTCCGTATATTCCGTATTTTAGCGGAATGTTCCGTGTATTTTGTCATTCCGTCAGTCCGCCATTCCGCCCAATAGGGTATTATTACATCCAAACACCGCACAACAATCTTTTTCCTATTAAAATCTTATTCTAAGAAAACTTTAAGAAAAAATGACCCGAAAGGCGCTAGAAAATACTGAACGGATTGTGTGCTCATGCCCCCAGGGCATCCCATAATACTTCTTAAATCTAACTTATTACTTTGGCGGAGCGCGAAGTAAAGGATTCGCGACGCTCAGGAATGTATCAAAGTTGACTTTTTTTTACAAGACTGGGCACGCAAGGTCTGTAGGTTTTCGGTTTTATTCGGCTATTTGACGAAGTGAGAGCCGAATTAGTTCGAGATATCTCGAAATCACTTCGATTTCTTTGATTTATTCTTTAACTTTTTCGAGGAAGAAAGAATTATTATTTTGGCTTTCCCCGGTTTGAAACGACTCACCTGTGTGACGCGTCAGATCAGAGGAGACTCTAAGTTGAGGGATTAGCCGATTGCCCTTCTGCGACCAAAGGTAGTAAATAGTTATGAAATGAAGTTCGTTGCTTTTTGGCTTGTTTCGGCTATTTCACGAAATGAGACCGGACTATTTCGTGATATCTTGAGATCAGTTCGAGTTTAGTCTTTAATTTACTCGAAGAATAACGTGGACGCGCAGATATACGAAATTTCTCGTCGAGCGTTGAAAACATTTCATGACTGAGCCCTCCTTTCGAACTGTTTTGTGATGAATTTAAAGTTACAAAATGCTGACATTTTGTGTTTGTTGAGTGTTGCGTAGAAAAATTGTTTTCATGCGTTGCGTGACTTTCTCGAACGTTCTCTACGTTTTTGGACTGTTCATGAATAATTAATTGGGCATGTTTACATTTCAGCATGAGTCAGCAGATTTGGATCAGTTACTAACATCATAGAATACGTCGAAAAGCTACTACTATTCGGCTGTTTAGTATTTTCTAGAACCTTATGTCAAACGGTATACAAGTTCCAAGCGAGTTCTTTTGGCGAACTGAGTTTTTTTCCACGAGCTCGACTGCTGTGTTTAGTCAAGTGTGACAAAGGTCGATTTTCAAGTTTTTTGTTTACAAGTTGACGGAAGCGGTAAGATATCTGAAGTTCAAGTGAGAGTTTGTTATTGGTAGAGGGTGTTTAGTTTTACTTAAGTTCAACTCAAGTTTGTGTTGGCGGATGCTGTGTTTTAAAGCTCTTTGGCTATGTTCCTTTGGTATTAAACTTCCTTGTGTTAATCCGACATCCCTGCGTGCTGATAGTCAGTGAATAATTATCCTCAAAACTTTCGAACTCGTAACATTGAGTTTTAGCCAATTCCCAGCTCAACGTAATTGACTCGTTACCCATGCCTTACAGATCTTTAATCAGTACATGAGACTGCTACGCTGTTTTTGAAGCCTGATGCGATTAAAAAAATAGAGAATTCTTTTTTCACTTTTTTTTTAGACTTGTTATTGACCGCCAGTAACCTCATATTTGACTTAGGTCCAAGTCAAATTTAGAAGGATTTGTATGGAGTCATCAGAGCATAACTGGGGTAATATTTCAGAGCCAATTTGTCCCGAAATGCTAGTTTTTGGCAAGTAGGCCTCTTGGATGTTGCTTTTTTGAGAATATCCTGACAAATCCCATAATTTCACAAATTCACACCTTACTCTTACCATATTTCATTTCTTACTATTCCTCCGCATTTACAATTAATCAGTTCCACAACCACGGCGCCGAAGTGTACGCTCCGTAGCGTCTTGTTTAACATTGTATACAAGATTTTAAAAACACTTTAAAGCATAACGTAAGATTATACTCTAATAAATCAACGCGGGATAAAAGTGAATTTGCCAAACTGCTCGGCCAATGACATTTTGTGTAAAGGTTGGTTGCCTCTTGACAGCAGCTATCCAGGGTCAAAAGAGCCAGTGTTTTGAAATGATCGTCCTCGTAAGGTGTTTCACTGCGAGATGGATCTTTAACATGAGAGCAATAGAGAATCTTCTGAGTTTGAAATTACGTTCCTGAACCAGTTTGCACTAAATGAACAGTTAAATGTAATGATAATGCATAGAATATTAATCGAAATAAGATTAAGCATTCATAAAAATATTGACGACGATACTCAGTTATACTTTGCATTCAAATCGGTGGATGTGGACGCTGCTAAATCGAGGGTCGAAAACTGCATTTCTGCAATATGTCGCTGGATGGATCTCAACGAATTGAAGCTAAACCACGACAAGACGGAGGTCATGCTCATACACTCAAAGCATCGTCCCTCTCCATCCTTTCAGTCCTTATGTGTTGGTGATGAGAGCGTGGCTGCCTCTCAGTCGGCTAGGAGTCTTGGTGTTATCTTTGATGAGCACATTTTTTTTCATGCACATGTGTCTAGCATCTGTAGATCATCATTATATCATGTCAGGAACCGATCTAGAATTAGGAAGTATTTCACCAAAGAATCAGCAGAAGTTACTGTTCATGCATTTGTCACATCGAAACTAGATTACTGTAATGCATTACTATACGGCCTACCTAAGTCTCAGTTACAAAGATTGCAGTATGTACAAAACATGGCGGCTAGAGTTGTGTTGCAAGTGAGTAAGTTTCAGCATATCACACCTGTTTTGTGCGAGTTTCATTGGCTACCGATTCAATATCGTATTATTTTCAAGATTCTGCTCCTCGTGTATAAATCACTGAATGGGACATCGCCTAGCTATTTAGCTCACAAACTACATTATCGTTCTCATACTAGATCATTGAGGTCTGTTTGTAATGAACTTTTAATGCAACCTAGATCGTATACCAAGACCTACGGAGATAGAGCATTCGCTGTTCAAACACCAAGAGAATGGAACTTAATACCCTATGAAATTCGGAAGTCCAACACCATCTCGAGTTTTAAAAGATCACTTAAGACGTACTTGTTTACTAAATTCGGTAATAACGGATCATTGTTTTTCTAGATTTGTTTATATTGCGTTAGTTTTAATTTTTTCCTTTTTTACTCATTGTAAATATAATAGGATATGGTTGTAAATTTGTAAATATTTTTCAATAATGTTGTTTACATGACTTTAAAGCGCCTTGAACATAGGATAAGAGCGCTATAGAAATAAAGTTATTATTATTATTATTATTATTGAATTGTTTGGTTCAGTAAGTTAACTATATGACCACAAGAGAGATGGCTGTTAGTTGACGTTCATGTTCATGTGCAGTAATTGTGCCTGGCTGTGAGTATTTTGTGTAATGTGAGTATATTCACGACAGATGAATTTAATGCGTATTTTTGTTATTTTATTCTGTGTTAGCAATCAGCCGTAGGGTGTCACCTTTAGCTGAATCAGATCAAGAAGCAGCTTCACCTCGAATTGACACAAGTCCAGATGATTCTAAGGTTGGTGCTTGGTACTTGGGACTAAAAATGAAAACAAGTAAAGACTAGAAGGAAAAAGAAATCGAGTCGTTGTAGGAGTGCAATCTACTCAATTCGGCAATAATAGCTCGGAAAAAAGCAGGGGCGTAGCCAGGATTTTTCAAAGGGGGGGTCACAGAGGCTACTCACCCGCTGCTCTCCCTCGTGTATCACCGGGCTTAGTCGTATTATCGCGGCATGAAGGCCCATATTAACTAAAGACAAGAGCAACATGAGAAGTTTTTTGTTGCGTTTTTTTATCGCCAAAATATTATTTGTTCTGAATTTAACCAAAGTAGAGCGTAGAAAACTCAAAAGTAGCGTCCGAATTGCATTATGGGTAAAATCCAAAATGGCGGCTTCCGTGGCAAGGGTAGTGGGTTCTTGATTTGCCGGTTTAATAGCTATTTTACCATGTACAACGCAATAATTTCAAGAAAAGTCAGCAAAATCATCTAGTCAATAAAGCGCTTAAACTTTTTGAGGGAAAAGTCTTTGAACTTTTGACTTAATAAAAAGAATTTTGGAATTACTTACAGTTCTTGTACAATGTTCACTTCGATAATCCGATATGTATTTTGCTCATATCAATCATAAACATCTGTTTATATATTTATAAATTTGGAAATATAATCTAATTTTAGGAATGATCAACCTGTTGCAGTCAACATTATTTGAATTATCGGTTATTCGGTGATGAAAACTCAATATGACATGCCAATTTTTAATACATAGATACATATGGTTTATTTAAACACGATAAAATCATCAGTCTGAGAAGGTTAAGCGAAGTAAAAAGGATATAAAGACTACATACACCTGAATGGCTTACATGATTACCCTGTGCTGGGAAACAGAAAACAAGAAAGCTAACTGGTTTACTTCCCTTTTAAATTGGCATAGCGATGTTATTCTTCGTATGTTTTTTGTGGTAACTCATTCCAAATCATGGCACCGCTATAAAACAAAAAAAAAACTTTTGGAAGTCCAGACTTTCGTAAATTATATTATACCGTATGTGCTGTTATGTCCCTGTTTATTGCATTTGCATTGCGACTTAAACGCTGAAACATCTGATACAAAAAGGGTCCTCATCTAAGAAGGAGTGTTGATGATGCTGAGGAGTCAAAT